CCAGCCAGAATGAAATGAATACTTTTTTAGAAATCTAGAACAAAAGAGAGTATATAACTTCTTTCACTAATCTATTCCTGTCTCTAAGACCTTTTTCTGATAAAAGTGCTTCCTTGAGCCTGAGCTTTGCCCTGTCTAGTAAAGCCATTCTCTTTAATTCTATCTTTAGTAGAGGCAGAGAAGAGTAAAGAATCTTTCTTTGCAGCAAAGGCTGTAGGTAATGTATACCGCTAAGTCAATAATAAATATCTCATGCTCATTATTTGAGATAAGGAATCTATTAAAATCATCGATTTATTTACCATTAGGCATATAAAAAAAGAGACAAGGATAGAGATGACTCTTTTGTCTGACAGAGTGAAAGGCAATTCATAGCTTTTCTAGAGTTATAAATGTCATCTTGAATATATTCACAATGACCAATTCATTTAGGATTAAAGAGTATATTCCATAGGAGATATTAGACCTTTGATGTTCCAATCTCTTAAAAAGAATTTTTACCATTTCACAAGGACATTATTTATGGCTGGGGGAAAAAGGATGAGATTTCTTTCTTGTAAATGTTATCATCCTTGACTTTATCTAAAATGTTTCTGTTTAAATGGCCTGCGCTGTTAGAAATTTTGTTTTTGTACCTGCATTCGTAGTCCTTTCCTCTCTTATTGTGTTTTTTCAAGGCAACAGACGAAATTCCATTTGTTAAAATTGAATCAGAAGGTTCAGGGCCCAAAGAAATCTAACAGTTAACTAGATAATGTAGAAAATAACAGATTTTTAAAAGAAGGGAATTTAAAGCATATTATATTTGCTTCTATACTGATAAGGTTTCTTCGGGAGAGTAGAGAAGCAAGAGGATTCATAATAGGAGTTACAAAAAAATATAGATAAATATAGTGGGCTGTTAACAGTTGAAAGCAACTACGGTGTATATAAACCTGCTGTTCCAAAGCCTTCTTTAAGAAAAACTATTTGCTTATTGGATTTATTTTAGTTACCCGTTTTTCCAATAAATGGCATACTAAAGACATAATTTAGTATGAAGTAAAAATCTAAGCTCATTAACACCGAAATAGGTCATGTCAAGTATTCTGAGGATTTTGGATGCCATGAAAACATCTATCAGAATGAATAGAACAGATCTGCCATCATTACCATTATTTACATCATCATCACCATAACCATCAAATATTTATTGAATACCCGGAGTGAGTGGAGTATTCTTAGTAAGACAGTTTCACACTGAAGTCTACTCCTGGGAATTTCTACTTAAAAAATTAAAAGCAACGGAGAAGTCTCCAAAACAATTAGGGTCTGAGAGTAGCTGGGCAGAGAACATTGGAAGATGCTGAAAAGCTTGTGTTCATAAACTTTTAGGAAGGTCAGAAGAAAAGACTATCTTTTGTAGTGAAGATTTAAATATGCAATTTGCAAATGACTCCTATTCTACAGAGCAGCTCGTGTCCTTCTCCTTTAATGGCAGAACCTCTTTGCTGGGTGCCTTGGGAGCCTGTAAGATCAAAACATCAAAGGAAGGAGTTTTAGAGAGTTCAAAAATGAAGGGAGGGGAGGCCAGAGGGTTAAGACAGCAATAGTTGTGAGGTGATTTCCAGGTAAACTCAGCCTTCCAGGAATATTTTTCCTCAGATGCTTCTCTCATTCATTTTGTTCTATTGCCTCAAGTCCTTGTTGCTGGTGTAATTTCAAATGAAAACAAAACAACCTAAAACTGAAAACATCCTCAGGAAACAGTGGTGCAGTCTGGGGAAGTCCTGCCAGCTGGTTTTTAAGGGCCCTTATGTTGGCCTTTAAGTGGTACTTATACTGGTGATGTCAGCCGTACTCAGGGTCTCGTTCTTGCTTTTGCAAGACCAGAAACCCAGAAACCCACTTTTTGTGGGCATTGAAGATAGATTTGTTACAAATAGACACACATAATCCAGTTCACAGATCTTTATTTCAGCAATATCTTCAGGACATTATACATGGGAAGTCAAGCTGTCAGATAGTTACTTGGTACATGGGAATCAGAATAAAGAGAATCAGTTGGTACACTGTGAAGCATTTCTACCCAATGTAATGACACAGCCTTGTCAGGGATGCCACAATGCTCAAGTTTGCATTGCCAAGACTCTCCTTTCTGGATGGTATTTTTTAAAAAGATTTTATTTATTTATTCATGAGAGACACACAGAGAGAGGCAGAGACATGGGCAGAGGGAGAAGCAGGCTCCCTGCAGGAACCCCGATGAAGTGGGACTCAATTCCCGGACCAGGGATCAAGCCCATCACACCCTGAGCCAAAGCTCAACAGCTCAGCCACCCAGGTGTCCCTCTGGATGGTATTTGAATGGACATTGTCCACCCTTCGGGTTGGTTATCCAGTTGTTTGCTACATGTGACCAATTTCTTTCTGACACAAAGGCCTGACCAACCAGGATGAAGTAACCATCTAATACTGCAAAGTTTATCAGGTAAAATACAGGATGCTCAGTTAAACCTGAATTTCAGATAAATAATATTTTTAGCATAAATATGTCCCAAATACTACACAGACATTCTCTATTTCTATTTGCTAAGTCTGAGAACCCCAAAACTTCATTCCTCAGCTTCTTTTCTTATTACTTTAATCGGGGTTTTGGGTGTTCCCAGATTTTCTTACACATACACATATGGATTTCTTGCTTTACCCATAAAAGGTTAAAAACATTCATTGTGAGTGGATTTATTTATTTTATTTTTTAAAGATTTTATTTTTTTATTTGACAGAGAGAGTGCGTGAGAGCAAGCTCAAGTAGGGAAAGGTAGAGGGAAAGGGTGAAGCAGGCTCCGGATGGGCAGGGAGTCTGACACAGAGCTCCATCTCAGGACCCTGGAATCATGACCTGAGCTAAAGGCAGATGCTTAACTGACTGAGCCACCCAGGCGCCCATGAGTGGACTTATTGATTTGACTTTTAGATACAACTTTCCCTGATTTACAATTTGTGTGTGTGCTGGGGTGGAAGAATGGGTCTTATCATTACTCCACATACCAATAGCAGCTGTTGAGGTAAATTGCAATAATCAGAATTTTTTAAAGCAATACCAACCATTTGGGAAAGGATAAAGGACTAGTATAAATGGGTTCCAATAATATCACTTTTACTGTAAGCTGAATGATTGTATTGAGGAAAAGGAGAAAAGAATTCTACTATGGGGACTATGGAGGTCCTCTGGGTGGCTCAGTGGTTGAGCGCCTGCCTTTGGCTCAGGGCATGATCCCGGGTCTGGGGATTGAGTCCCACCACATCGGGGGACTGCAAGGAGCCTGCTTCTTTCTCTGTCTATGTCTCTGCCTTTCTCTCTCTCTCATGAATAAACAAATCTTAAAAAAAAAAAGAAAGAATTCTACTATGGGAGAACGGTAATTTTGGAGAATGGAAAACTTTGAGTGTAAGGTAGATCTGGGGAGTTGAGCTTTGTAGTTGGGACTTAGAGTATTATGGGTCTCAAAGGACCACACTAGGCTGTTAGAAAGGGATGCAGAGTGGGAGGCAGGTAGATGTCAATGAAACTTGGGATATTTCAAATATTTATATAAAGCTGGTCCCAGAGGCCTGGGGAGCTGGAATCCTTTTCTATTCTCTTGTCTTCTCCTCTTCTCTTTGGTCCTCTGGTCTAACCTGATTAGTCAGGTTGTTACTAATCAGTATTATTTACCTGCATTTGGGTCAAGTAGGCCCAATTTTGTGGTCTAGCTGGGAATCTTACCATACTATATAACATTGTTTTTATGAGATAGGGTGTAAATTTCAAACAATGGACATAAAAATAAAATGTTGAGACACAACTTGGTCAGGCTGGGTACAGTTTATCCACCTGGTGGGTATTGAATTCAGGTAGAAGGCCTGGTCACAGTATAATGTATTATATTGTATTACATCGAATCTACATAAAAACGGATCTGACATATTCAATTCAATTCAATCACATTCCATTCAACAACTGTTTGTTGACAACCTTTCTGGAAATATAATCTCTTCTAAAGAGAGGTGGAATGGGTAAGGTAACGGCATATTTGAGCATTGTGTTAGGTGTAAGGGGTCAAAGGTAAAAAAGACCTTGCTCTGTCTGGAAGGTGTTTACAAATTACTACAAAACAGGACTAAGACAAGCTATTATAATGAAGGGAATTAACATGTGCAAGGGATAATGTATGTGAAAAGTGCTTTGCAAATGTCAGGTGGGGGTTGTTCTAGAAAGGGCCTTTAGAGTCCAAATATCTCTTTCTACCCATAATGAGAGCTAATAGAAAAAGTAAATGGAATCACTGACAGACCCAAGGATGGAGGTCAGGAATTCCAGGCGGCCCACATTAGCTATAAGATCTCGGGCAACTTACACAGCCTTCAGCCTCAACTTTCTTCCCTGTTAAATGGGTATTACTAGTGTTTCTTTCAGAGTTATTGAGTCGATTGAGCAGATCGAAGCACCTAGCATTGTTCTCAGGAGTAAGGGCTCAATAAACCATACTTACTAGTTAGCACTTGTTTTTAACTTCTCTGAGAAAGGAATACTTTTAGGGTTACTTTACACGATCCTACTTAGAGGCACGCCTCACCTGAACAGTTTCCACAAGGAATACGCTGCAGCTTCCGACGTGCATCCTTTGCCTTAATCAAGGACCAGAGAAATTCGGGCTCTTCCAGCGAAAACAGTGCCCTGGCCGTAGGCACTGAGCGAGAGCGGCCGCAGAAGCCAGGGCTTTGAGGAGGGACAGCAGGGCAGGGGGGCTCCGGCGGGGCGCCGGGAACCGGGACCCGAGCTGGACCCCACCCCGCCCGCCCGGCTCTGCCCCGGCCGCGGGGCGCAGGCGGGGAAGTGGGCGCCGAGGGGCGTGAGGCGACGGCGTCGGGAGTCGGTGCCAGCGGAGGCGGGGCGGGCACATCTTTCCGCCGCCCAATCGCCAGCTCTCGTCGCGGCCTCATGAATAAGCAACAAAGCGAAGCGTCCTCCTCCGGGCGTCCCAGACGGCAGAGGGAGCCGCCGCCGCTGCAGGGGCCGCGCCGGGGATGCCCAGCGCCGGCGCCGCCGCTCTCGTCCGCGCGCTGCTCGGCTGAAGGCGCACAGGTGAGCGCGGGCCCGGCTCCTGCCGCTCGGGCGGCCGCGCCTGCAGCCCGGGCTCGGGGCGGGCGGCGCGGGGTCGCCCCGGGAGCGCTGCGGTCCGGGGAGCGCGGCACCCCGGGGCGCGCTGGGCGTGCGCCCCGAGCCCCCGCCGGGACGCTGTGCCGGGGCGCGGGGGGCGCGGGGGCCGCTCGGGGCGCGCTGGGCGCGGCGCGCAGGCCTCGGAGGACTCGCCGCACTCCTCGCCCCAGCCCAGCCTCCCGGCTCCGCACCAGCGCGCGGGCCTTTGTGCTGGCGGGGCTTGGAGGGCTGGCTGCTTTTGTGTGGGCTTTTCTTTCTTCTCTCGCTCCCCTCCCGACCTCACGGCTCGGGTGGAGAAGTTCCTCAAGACTCCGATTTGCTCCTTTCAGAGCATCGATCGTAATGTCCCCGGTGCCAGTCAGTGTCCGGCAGCCGAGGAGAGAAGAGGGGCTTCGGCGGCCACCGAAATGTGTTCTGCTACTTTGCAGAAAACCAACAGTTGAGTGTTTAGCGCAGAGATGCCACGGAGCCTCCTCGCTCAGACCCTGACCGGTCCCCCAGGACATGGCAGGAGGATGCTGCTTGGAAAGGTCGCTTAGTTGGAAAGAGGGCCTATGGGATAGACGCGGAGGAGGCCAGGCGCTGCCCGAGGCTACAGAATGGTTGGTAGGTGTTGCCTGGAGGTGCCCAGACCTCGCATATGCGTCCTGGTCGCGGAGAAAACCCGACCTGTGTAGATAACACGCATGTAACCCCTGACTGGTGAGCTGGCTGAACGAAGGTAGCCGGGGTGAATAAAATTTAGGACTCCCAAGAGTTTGGAGTTCTCGAAGATGAGAAATCTTTGCCTTTACCAAGCCGAGCTCGAGGAGCTGCCGGGATCTTGGCACCTAATTTCGGTGCAGAGCTGATAGGGAGGAGAGGAGAGAGGATGCTTTACAGTGTCTGCATTCTCTCTTTGGAAGTTTTAGTTAGAGAGTTAAGGGGGAGCAGGAGTGGTTCACAAAACCATTCTAGGGTTCTGATGGACTTCTGTAGGAAGCAAAATGTGTGGCCAGAATTTGCATGCCTCCCCTAACTTTTTGTGTATTTCCTTGACCACACTTTTGGACTCCAAGGAGTACTGTTGAAGCCAAGCGTGTTTAAAGTCATTGACTGATTTCTGCTCATTTGCCAGCAGAAGCCCTCTGTAGCATCTATTGAAAGAAACTCAAAACTGGGGTGAGACTTCACAGTATCACATTTTGCTGCTTTTACACACAGTAAAGATTTAAGAGTGGTCTTACTCTTATGACTGAGGTAGAGCTGTTATATTTGTCTTAATGATGAACCAAACACTTACGCAGCAGACTTGATATTGATTGTGTTTATTCACAAAACTCCCAAGACTCACCACGTCTGAGGTAGCTACAGCAACAGAGCCAATTAGGGAGATGCGGATTTGTCTTTGTTTTCAGAGGAGGCTTCTCACTGTTATATTCTGGTATTTCTTGCTAGACTTTTTAATATCTTAATTTGCTGTTACAGAAATGGTTTAATGCAAGAATAGAATCAAAATGAGGAAGATGGGCTTACCTGTTGTAGAACATTTCCACTCTTCAACTAAGATGTACTTCACTCTTTATATTTAGCAGATGTTTGCCTGAAAAGTTGTGTATGGAGTTGCGTATTTGTTCATTGAATTTTTTTTTTCTCATATAGGGAAGCTGGGTTTAGTTCTCTGTAGAATGAAAACTCATCCCCTAATTAAATGTGTGATCAATTCTGTTTTTCCATATTGTGTTTACTGGGTGATTATAAGAAAAGTATCTGAATCAGGTTTCAACTTGAAATGTCAGATATTATGTTTGTTCCTTGAAATGTCTACCTGGGGATTATTTTCTCCTTAAATGCCAGCTAGTACTTAGAGATCTTGTCAAGCAAATGAATTTTATAAACCACAAAGAACAGAAATGAAATATCAAATTGGGTCATTGAAAAGAACTGTGTGATGGATGGAGAAGAGCTTGTTGACCAAGATGGATTAGGGCAGGATTCTGCAAACATCAGGCAATTCCCAGGTCATTTTGTCCACAGGAGAAGCTGAAAGAGGAAGCTCCGTGGAAATACCTAGTGGGGAAAAGGATGTTATGGATGGTTCAAATTGCTCACATTGCTGTAGTTTGAGGGGGAATGTGTGTTGGTATCACACTCACATGTCTTAAGTTGAATGATACTTAAAACTTTTTCTTCAGATTGTTTTCATGTCTCTTTTCCAAAGAGACAGTATTGAGCGGGACCCCCTGGTGGCTCAGTGGGAACGTCTGCCTTCAGCTCAGGGCGTGATCTGGGAGTCAGGGATGAGTCCCCCATCGGGCTCCCTGCATGGAGCCTGCTTCTCTGCCTTTCTCTCTCTGTCTCTCATGAATAAATAATAAAATCTTAAAAAAAAAAAAGAAAAGAGAATGAGCATTGTCACCTCCGCTTTATAATAAGGCAACTGAGTTTCAATGATTTGCCCAAGGTGGACTGGTATTTAAATAATAATATTTAAATCTTCAGTTTGGCTTCTTTTCCCAGGGATAGGATGATGTGCTAGGGGCTATAAGCACTGACATCAGCATTTATCTACATTGCCGTATCGTGGAGAACAAAGCTCTTGGGCTCATAGTACGTAGAACTTAGTTGTGGTCTGCAGGGATGGTAGAGCACTTTGCTGGTAGTTACTGGTGTGACCTTCTTCACCCCAGCCCACTTACCCTCTTCCCTGTCAGCACTGATGCTGCTTTCCTCCTGGGGAACTATGCTTTTCTTTGTGGTTACTCCATTCTCCCTCCTTCCACTGTGGCCAAACATGCTGCTGAAAGGATCATCTGTCATTCTAGCTAGCTCCTTAATTTAAAGTGAAGAATGACGGGGGCCAGATGATCCTAAAGCCAATATATTAGGCCAATGACAGTCGTTAATAGCACAGTGAGTCAGAAATGGAGTACGGTAATGCTGTGTGCAACAGATGGGCTAATAGGGTCAGTGGCTTGATAAACTCCGCTTTAGACAAGTGAAATAGCATTGGCAAGAGAACCTTAAGGATTAAAAAAAAAGAAAAGGTAAGACGATGAAAAATTAATTATTGAGGATCAGAAAGTACAAAATGGAAAGATTATTAAGATATAAGCAAAGAAGGGAAAGAGTTTCTTTTTCCTCTCATCAAGCAAAGAATCAATTCAATTAGTTTTTAAGAGGTGAGGGGGTCATTGGGAAGCGAGTCAACCTGAAGCTCTGAGACTTGTCACTTGGAAGTATTGATCTATTTTTTTAAAGGTTTTGTTTATTTATTCATAAGAGACACAGAGACAGAGGCAGAGACATAGGCAGAGGGAGAAGCAAGCTCCTTGTGGGAGCCTGGGATCACAACCTAAGCCAAAGGCAGATGCTCAACCACTGAGCCACCCAAGTCCCCCTGATCTATTTTTTTTTTTATGGAAATAAAATCTTTGAAAACCTAAAGTATAGCAGAAATGAGAATTCAGGTGGTCATTAGTATTATGAAAATGATACATTGAACGTGTAGCCAAAATTGGCCAAGTGATGAACAAAATACACAGTTAGACATGGGTAGACCCTGGCATGTCATTGAAAATCTTATGGCATAAAATGGAGACTCTGAACATCCTTTTTCACATTTGTAAACAGTTATTTATGTTTGCTACACTCCAGCAAATATTTATCGAATACCTCCTCTGTGTGCCTACCATTATTAGTAATTACATGGCAAACAAAGGAAGCTAAAACACCAGTGTTTGCATGCAAAGAATGTACTCTTGTTTGAAGTGGCATGACTTACAGATCTGATGCTTTGTGTTGGAGAAGTTGGGAGAAGGGTGGGAAGAGATTGGACCAGGCTTTTTTTGTGACAGCAGTTAGTAAACAGGACAGGGCCAGGGTTTGGATACCCAGGGTAGGGAAGGAGGGAGTGTTCTGGGTACTGTAGTCTTGTGAGCGAAACTTGGGGATCCAAAATGAGTATGGCCCATAAGGGCAGTATACTCAGCTGGTGATGAGTAGAGTACAGGACACTAGTAGTACCGGGTTACATTATAGATATGGAGTTCAGCAGTTGGAAATTTGGTGACATTAAATGAAGTGTTTGGCAAAGGGAGAAAACTTGAAGTCTGACAGAATTCACAAGTTCAAAAACAGACATGAGGGCAGCCCAGGTGGCTTAGCAGTTTAGCGCTGCCTTCAGCCCAGGGCCTGCCTGATCCTGGAGTCCCGGGATCGAGTCCCATGTCAGGCTCCCTGCATGGAGCCTGCCTCTCCCTCTGCCTGTGCCTCTGCCCCTCTCTCTCTCTCTCTCTCTCTCTCTCTGTCTCTCATGAATAAATAAAATCTTAAAAAAAAAAACAGACCTGATCTCATAGGCGAGTTAATTGTTCTCTATAAAGTCTGTAGCTTTCTAAAAAAAATAAGTGGAGATTATGGTAGTGTCTATCTCATTAGGTTGTTGTTAAATAAGGTAATTTACATAAGGCACTCACAACACCTGGCACATAGCATCCTCCAAATGGTGGCCATTTTTTATGGGTTATTGAATGCTGTGCCGAAGATCATGAATCCAAGAAACCACCAAGGAGCCGACACCGATGCTTGAGCTTGGGTCCAAGTGTACCCGACACAGTGGAGCAGGGACTTGGACCCCGAGGCTAAGAGGCATAGCAGCTTTATAGGGGCCAGTGGCCAATGGGATACACAGAAATTTGCACAGTCATGTCGGTCCACACGCAGGTGGCCAGTTGAATCACGATTCACCCTATAGTGACCATTTGAACTGGCCTCTCGCTCTGGTCAGAATTGGCGGGCACAGGGCAGGGTTACATTGTTATGAGCCGATTTCCGGTAAGGGTGTGCCCAGTGGCTTGACTAGGGTGGGGCAGCGCCTTAAGCAATAAGCAGGTCATGTGGGGGTCATACAGGAGGTGGCGGGTGCAGCACAAAATGGAGTTAATCCTGCTCTGCTCGTCCAGGGGTAGGGGATTTTTGTTAAATTTCCTGGATCCCACACTGTCATTTTTTTTCTTAAGAATAAATCATCTAGATTGTGTAAAATGAACTGGAGAGGACAAAGTCTGAACAGCATCATCAGTTGAGAGACCATTAAAATAACCATCTAGTGAGGTGATGGGAAGGACAATTACAAGAGATATTATGAGGAAAGGATCCACAGAAGCTGTGAATCTAGAATTTAGAGAAGAGTTCAGGATGATACCAAAGTTTAGGTGAAGAAGATGGTGTGTCTGAGGTGTCATCCAAATTTCTTTCAGGAGACAATAAGAATCTAAGATTAGGCAGCTTTCTTCCCAAAACCCTATAGACAACTTTCTTCCCCGAATAGCTATTTATGGTATTTGTGTTTGTCCCAAGAAGAGGGAAATGTCAGGCAGTTTGTCACCAGTTTTTTGGCATACTCTATAGGTCTTCTGTGTATTGAGTACTCTTAGGGCAATGCTCATGTTCCTTCTGTATTATACATGGAACTCCATTTCCTTTGAAAAGCTAGCTTTGCCACCGATGAGAATGTTCTCACATGCTGGTTACCCTTGTGCCTACATTTTGGTAACACACTGAGCAATAGTATACATTTTAGTTGGAAGAAATGTTGACCAAGTGTTTAAAAAAACCCTGATTATTAAATCCAACAAGGTGACTAAGTCTGTATTTTTTATGTTGTCTTTCATTTGTCTTTGTGACTTGCATATGCCTAGACTTGACAAGGAGACAGATTCTGGACTGTATCTATTTAAGATTGTCAAAGATAATGGGTGACAGAACAGTTTATCTGCCCACTGGTGGCAGAAATGCAGTACATTGTTTAGAGGACCTCAGAGCCATTAGGATACCTTGATAGCAAGTGATAGACAAAGTGCTGCTGACTTGCTCTGAAAAGGATGCTTTCTAAGCTGTTAGAAGCCAATATCCACTCTCAGCAATGTGGTTAGAGTTTATTTACCTGAATTAATTTGCACTGATGGCTAATCATGGAAAGAAACCAGCACTTCCATGGTGTGAAAGAAAAGTTAGAGGAATATTCTTTTGTTTGTTAAATATTCTTATGATTGAGTTAATTTAAGATAATTAAGACACAGAGTACTAATTAGCAGTGAAATTTCCCTCCTCCCCTTCCCCAGCAAAGCAGGCTATAGACATTCTTGTTTGTTCAGCCAATATTTACTGAGCATTTTCTCTGTGCCAGGCTCTTTGCCAGGAAGGGGATACAATGTTGAGGGGGGAAAAAAAGAAAAGAAAAGGCCTATAGCCTTCAACATATGATTATAGATGATTATTTAGTTTTAGAAATATTGCTGTTGAATTGACAATTGTCAGCCTTTTCTTTTTTATTTGCTAATGTCATGTAGCTCTCACTTGGGGGGACACCATCCTCACCGGAGTGGCTGTGTGAACTTACACTGTGCTTTGAAAGATGGAGAAAGACCTAGAACTTGAAGGTCATTTACCAATGTATCTGAGTTGGAGGTGTGCTCCCTGCTGTTGTTCTTATAGGCTGTCTTTTCTGCTTCTTTTAAAGTTCAGGCATTGCTTTTGAATAGTGGGGAGAAGGAACATATGGCCGCAATACGCAAACATAGAATAGGCTTGCAGTTCACCCCCATTTTTTCTGTAGTTGGATTTAGAAAGCAGGTGGCTGACACTTAATTACAGAAGGAAAGTCTTTCAGAGCAATGGCAAAATTCCCTTCACACAAAAATTCTAAAGCTTAAGATCTAGCTGAAAATAAAACCTTGAAGGAAAATTCTGTCTGGGAAAGGCAATTGAGGTTATATTAAATCTTTATGATTTGCCTCCCCAAATCTAATTTGTTCGTGAAATTCGCCTCTCAGTCCACATGACTCCAGAACATATAAATAAGTTGTGAAACATCCATTCAATCATTTGAATGCCTTGCCTACCTGATAGCATGATTGTTGGAATATGAAAACATTTGTATTTTAATATTATGTCCTGTAGATAAAATGTGAAAATGGAATCATGGAGGTAGAAGGGATTTATAATATTTTTTGTTTAACTCCCCATTTTGTCAAAGGAAGGACTGAGGCCATTTGCACAGTATCCCATAGCATGTTTTAACAACAATAAAGCTAGGACTCAGGAATTGTTTTTCTGATTCCAGTCCTTGTCTCTCTAAATTCTGTTGTCATTTATGATGGCTTGTTTTTTTCCAGGCTTTTATCCAGAAGCACGGGATCATATAGTCCAAGGCTTTAGGCCACACCCTACATTGTCTGGGACATTTAGTAAGATTTCACTAAGTGGGAAAAATATTTGCTCAGGGAAGAATAGATCAGAGAGTTCTATAGCTATTATATATGTTTGACTATATACAGTTTCTTAGTTCAACTTGTCTCTACAAGGATGTAGTTTCATCCACTGTGAACATTCTTGCTTTATAGTTCTTCTGTGCTTTTCTTTTTCTTTCTTTTTTTTTTTTAAAGATTTTATTTACTTATTCATGAGAGACACACAAAGAGAGGCAGAGACATAGGGAGAGGGAGAAACAGGCTCCCTGCAGGGAGCCTGATGGGGGACTCGATCCCCGGACCCAGGATCACGCCCTGAGCTGAAGGCAGACACATCCACTGAGCTACCCAGGTGTCCACTATACTTTTGTTTTAAGGAGTACAATTAGAGGCAGCAACAGCAAGTCAAATACTCTTACCAAATATGTTACCTGACTATGAAGTGGGCTTTTTTTTGGAAGTGGAATTCTTTATGGATCGTTTAAAGTTTGGTGATAACTAATGTTCAGAATGTTGACATGCCTTGGCACATGCTATTCCCTCTTTATCAAATATCTTTCCCATATTATCTCCTTTTAAAACAATGCTAGCTGCCTGTATATAATTTAATATTTAAATAAAATTGTTACAGACTTTCATCCCACATATGGAGAAACTTACCATCCTTCTCACTATCTCTGAGGATTCCTGAGGGGGTGTGGTGGCTTTCTCCTAGTCATGGCTTCAGTTTTCTTCTGCTGCTAAATTTCTGATCCCTGATATGTGCTGTTCCTTTTCTGCACATGGCACCTCATGACATCACTTCATTCCTATATTCTCCTGAAGTATTGTAGATTTAAGATTTCTATGTAATTATCTCTAACTTGGTGGCAATAAATGCTTAAAATTAATTAATTTATTTCAGAGAGAGAGAGAGAGAGAGAGAGAGAGCATGCGCGAGAGAGTGTGCACACACAATCAGGAAGGGCAGAGGGAGAGAGAGAATTTCAAGCAGGCTCTGTGGTAAGCACGGAGCCTGAGCCTGACATGGGGCTCAACCTCATGTCACTGAGATCATGACCTGAGCTGAAACCAAGAATCAGATGCTTAAGTGACTGTGGACCTAGGCGCCCCAGTAAATGGTTATTATTTCATCCCATTTCCATGCATTAAGAATTTGGAAGCAACTACCTTACCCTAAAGTGGTTCTGGCTCAAGGTCTCTCAAGAAGTTACAGTCATGATGTCAGCTGAAGCTGACATCTGAAGGCTTGGCTGGGCCTGGAGGGTGCTTTCCAAGATGCCTCATTTATGAGGTGCTGGTAGTTTGGCAGGAGGCCTCAGCTTCGAATCCAGGGAATCCTCTTTTGTTGTGTAGAAAAGGAGAAGGGAGATAGCACATGTTCATTCAGCCTTCCTTTTTTCCTCAGCTGTCTAGATCATGCTCCAAGGAATTGACCTTTTCTGGTCTTTTTTGGTCACAAAAAGTCCTAGAAACTAAATGGGAAAGCTTTGAACTTCTTAAGGGAGAAGACCCTATGAAAACATAAATTTTTATATTTTATGTGTGCACATCACATGCTTAACCCAAGTAGTTTAATGATTAGACATGAAAGAAGGAAAAATAATAACTTTTATAAAGTTTAAGTTTTTATTTTAGAATTTTCATTCCTAGGTTTATTTTTTTTTTCATTCCTAGGTTTAATTTCCTAGAATATCTATAGCATCTGAGAAATTTTGGATGATGGGAAAAGAAAGAGCCCAAAAAGCAAAGCAGATAAAAAAAGAACTAAAGCTCAAGTTTTTGGGGAAAATTAGCAGTTTTGACATAGTTTTAGTTTTAACGAGAGTGTGAGTAGTTTCTTTAAAAAAATGCAATAAATCTCAATCCTATAATAGTATGGATTCAGTAAAGATTGCTAATTTTAAATGTGTTTTGGTTCTTTTAAAGTTTTTTCCCTAAAAACACACTTACTTGAATTAACTCTTAACTTTTCTGCTCCTTAAATTTTGAAACATCAAAGATTTGCCTATAACTTTTATAGTTATTACAGAGAAAAGAAATAATTTAAGTGTTTTGAAGAGAAATAAAAAAAAAACTTTATTTTTTTACATGGGGCTGGAACTTACGGCCTCAAGATCAAGAGTTATGTGTTTCACCTACTGAGCCAGCCAGGTGTCCCTAGAGAGAAATTTTAATTGAAAATCATTGAATATTACCGGTATTCAGTATTTTATGATGATATTTAATAATTTTAAACAATACTTGAAACATTCTCTGATGTAATATAAGTAAATGTAAGTTTTACTTTCCATATCTTGAACATGTTATTTCTCCAGTTATTTGACTATATGGTAATAGAGGAATTTGGGGAAGAATATTGCAAATGTGACTTCAAGGGTAATTTTTTAAAATAGATATTTAAGAAACAATGAACTTAGTACTTGAACTATGTGTACCTTTTCTAGAGAGCTTCAGGTTAAATCAGCTGCAAAATTCAGCAGGGAAAAGTGAACTGGGTTATCCAAGTCTCAAAGGTACAAAGAAATAGAACAGCTGTCTCTTCCATACCATCTCTGAGCATGAAGTCAAGATTGTTTTACTTACGGTTTAATTTAAAGGGGCTTGTTTACAAAATACGTTTATTTGATAGCTTGATATGCTTTATTTTTCTGCAGGACTCAATTACTGGAATTGTCAACTCTGCTGATTTATGTGCACATTTCTCTTCCACTATGAGCAGACTAATTGTATTGCACATTTGTCTGGCATTCTGTAGCCTTGTACTTCTCAACTTTGCCACACAATGTGTGGCCTTCCCCAGAATGGAAAGAAGGGAGATAGCACATGTTCATGTAGAAACGGGGCAGCCTGAGAGGATGAACACAGATGATCTAGAAAATAAGTCTATTACGTCAAAGTGCACTCCCCAATTGGTGGTCTCTGAAGAACCAGTGATGGTGTTAGCAGGACCAACAGCAACATCATTAAATAAAGTATTTCCTACTAACAAAGAAGCTCGTCCCATAGGAGCTGGGCTCATGCAGCCTAATAGCCCTGGCATTTACACTGCTACTGAGACAGCAGTCCCTGCAAGGTTTGGTTCCAGCCAGCCAGAGAGGGTGTCTCCTGAAAGCCGACTTTCCAAGGCCATGCTAACCAGTCCCATTACTGCAACTGCTCGTCTGCATATCGATAAGAAGGAGGGACACTTCAGTAGTACCATCATTCAGCACATTGGAGAGGGGACCACAGAAGCAACACAGGGTTTTCTGAAGTATGTGGATGATCAGTTGTTTGCAACTGAAAGTCAGGATGGAGTTAGTCTGGGATATTTACCTTCATCTGCTGTGGATACTAAAGAAATGCTAACTGCTAATCCAAGGACTGAGAAATCTGAAGCAGGCACAGAACATGGGGCAGCTTTTTTTCTTGGTGCTGAGCCCATAGCAGGCACGGAGCCTGGGAGCCCCACGCCTGATAGGGAGAAACCTTCGCAGATGACAGCTGATCATACCCAGACTACTGCCACCAAGTACTGGCTCACAACCTCCGAGTACACCCTGAGTGTTGAGCCAGAAACTGACAGGCTGCCGGGAGCCACGGGAGTCACAGTGAGTGTCAGCACAGCTGTTCCAGCTGCCTCTGACCTAAGTGATGAGTGGGATGATACCAAATTAGAGAGTGTAAGCCAGATAAAGACCCCCACACTTGGAGACAACATAGAGACTCAGGTGGGAATGGAAATGTCTCAGACAGCCCAAGAGATCGATAATGACCCTATGGAAGGTATGGAAGAGGGCAAACCTGTGACAGAGGCTGCAGATGTGGCTCTGGGGCTGTCAGAAGGGGAAGCACACTTGGGGACAGCCCTGTTAATGGCACATGGGGAGGAGCGATCATCTGCCGTCACCGATCAGAATTCCTTTATTCCCACAAGTCCTATGGAAGATAGGAAAGTCTCTGTTGTGAGCCTCTTCCAAGATACTGCAGACTTCATGGAGTCTACTAAGGAAAATGATCCCATGTTTTTCTTAGAGACCACTGTTCCCATCTCAGAATATGAATCTGAGGCGCATCAACCATTGGGAAATACATTGAAAGGTAAAAGAAAGAAAGAAAAACACAAACTTTGTTTAATTTGGAATGTTTCAATCTAATTGTATTGTTTTTTTAAGAATTGAGATATAACTGACATCTAATATTGTATTAGTTTTAGGTCTTATTTTATGTTTTTTTTTAAGCAATAATTTAGAAGTAAGTTATCTAAGTTTTAATGAAAAGCAAGAGTAAACAAATAAAAATATATTTTATATAAAATGACACCCAAATATAACCTCTGCATACAGGTCATAGTATTCAACCGGGACAAGTTTGTCCCTACCCCCATCATTTGGCAATTTTGGAGACATTTTTCCTTGTGATAACAAAGGGGTGCCATTGACATCTAGTAGGTAGGAGCCAGAGAGGCTGTTGAACATCCTAAAATCCCCATCCACAAAGACTTTTATGAGCCAAAAGGTCAACAGTACTGAGAAACTCTGATATAGGTTGATAATTTTCAAATATGTTATTATGAAAATGTATACCCTCAGGAAAATGTTAAGGAATGAGCTGTATATTTAAATGATATAATAAACAGTATAGAATACCTATTTACACATTGTTGTAAAAGATACTTATATTCCTGGTATTTCTTACCAGAAAGCTTTAAATAAATATCTGTCTTATAGCATTAACCATAGGAGTTCTTTGACTTTGTTTTCCTGAAAAGAAATATATCTAGAAAAAAAAGACAAAAAAACAAAAAACAAAACAAAACAAAACAAAAAACAAAAAAAAAAGAAAAAAAGAGACAAAACAAACAAATACTGATAAATCCTCTCTGTCGGCTTGATTCTGTACTACTTCTTCTTGGCCTTTATATCTGTGAATGTTGTGAGCTGAGGAGTCTTACATTTGTTGCTGATGGATAATGTTTTTCTTTTATTATGTGTATTTAGTCAGATAACAGCATGAGGGGAGGATAGACTTAGTATAATGTGCATCTGCTCCCTCCAAATTGTTTTGGAAGATGTATATCTTGTTGCTTCAACTAAGTAGCCTAATTAATGAAAATACCAAATTAGTAATGTGTTTTATAAAATGTTAAAATTGAATTAAAATTATAAGATTAAATATTACATGTCCAATTCATTTTTTAGAGACCGAAAGACCTAGTATACTGTAAGTTTTCACAGAAGCTTAAGAAGTTGTTTTGTATGTTGGTTTTTAAATTCCATTAAGAGAGTTGGATCTCCATGACCATGAAGATATTGGATAATGACTGAACAATTTACTTCAACTTTCCATAATACTTTAAGATATTCCTGGAGGATTAAGTAATATAGCTCTAGATTATTCATTGCATAATTGAATCTGTGATTCTTATGTATTAGAATTACATTAGCTTGTATTAATACAGACTAAAAGAAAAAAAGCTTAATGTCACATAGAGCAAATATGAAGCATATGTAAGAACTTACTCTAACTTATATTGTCTTACAACCTAGTTTATCAATCCATCAGATATAGGAAAAAGAGGGATGATAGGGTCTTCTAAAACTTAAGTTTTATTATTTTTTTAAAGATTTTATTTATTTATGATAGACACAGAGAGAGAGAGAGGCAGAGACACAGGAGGAGGGAGAAGCAGGCTCCATGCTGGGAGCCCCACGCGGGACCCAGGATCAAGCCCTGGGCCAAAGGCAGGCGCCAAACCGCTGAGCCACCAAAGGATCCTCTAAAACTTAAGTTTTAATAGTGGCTCAGTATTGGAAATTTCCAGCATCATCCTTGCCTAGGAAGGGAGCTAATATTGACCCTCTTAAATAGTATTTAATAATGTATTTGGGGGGATTGTAATGTTGGAAAGAAAGTGGACCCAACTGAGGTCTGTTTCATTCTCTTTTATGATTTAAAAGCAAATGCAGGGACGTCTGAGTGGCTCCACGGTTGAACATCTGCCTTTGGTCATGATCCTGGAGTCCCAGGATCGCGTCCCACATTGGGATCCCTGCACGGAGCCTGTTTCTCCCTCTGCCTGTGTCTGTGCCTCTCTGTGTCTCTCATAAATAAATAAATAAAATCTTAAAAAAATAAAAAAATAAAAGCAAATACAAGTCTTCTACAGAGGCCACTTCAAGTTATTTCTTGGGCAACAACAGGTTTTCCTTCTTTCTCAGGGCTCAAAAATATTCCACTGTGTATGTGTGTGTATCTCACATCTTCTTTATCCGTTCATCCATTGTTACTGACAGCATAGTTAGCACAGTGGTTAAGAGCACTATGTAGCTTCTCTAAACATAATTTGTCTGTAAAATGGGATAATAATAGCTGATATTTATTGAATACTTATACAAGTACTGGGGTATGTGCTAAGTGTTTTACATGTGTTATCTATTTTATTTATGTATTTAATTATTTGAGAGAGAGAAAGAGAGAGTGAGTGCACACGTGCGAGCTGGGATAGAGGAGCAGAGAGAGAGGGGGAGAGAATCTCGAGCAGACTCTGAGCTGATCACAGAGCCCGAGGAGTGGCTCTGTATCAGGACCCTGAGATCATGACCTGAACTAAAACAAAGGGTCTGTCGTCCAACCCACCGAGCCACACAGGTGTCCTTTTTTATTTTTTAATTTTTATTTATTTATGATAGTCACAGAGAGAGAGAGAGAGAGAGAGAGAGAGAGAGGCAGAGACACAGGCAGAGGGAGAAGCAGGCTCCATGCACCGGGAACCTGACGTGGGATTCGATCCCGGGTCCCCAGGATTGCGCCCTGGGCCAAAGGCAGGCGCCAAACTGCTGCGCCACCCAGGGATCCCCACACAGGTGTCCTTTACATGTGTTATCTCTTTATAACAGCTCTATGATATAGATACTACTATTTTTTAAAAAGATTTATCTATTGATTTTAGAAAGCAAGAGAGAGAACAAGTGGGTAGAGGGGCAGAGGGAGAGAGAGAGAACCCTCAAGTGGAATCCCTGCCAATTCCCAGGACCCTAGGATCATGACCTGAGCCAAAATCAAGAGTCAAATGCTCAGCTGAGCACCACCCAAGTGCTAGAGCCTGCATTTTTTACTGCTATGATATATGGCTTCCATGGAATGATATTAGTACCTACCTCCCCATAGTACATTTAGAAGATAAAATAACACCATATACACAGCAGTGTGTGTGTATATAGCATATAATAGAAATATATGTGTTAAAGCATATAATAGAAACTCAATAAACATTAGTTATTGTAATAATTATTCCTTTATTGAAAATAGTAACTTTCCTCTTCAGAAATGCAAATGTGAAAATTAATATATATATATATATATAAATGCTGAGAAATTTTAAATATAATTTAGAACTGTATAATTTATTTCTTAACAAACTGGTTATGTTGATATTCACAAAAAGGAGCTCAATTGTTGATCTTCCTATTTTGTTTTGGATTTTATTTTATGCTTTATATATTAACTTCTTTATCTCTGTCTTAGATTGATTCATTGCTCCTGAAAGCAGCAACACTGAAAACATTTATTTGCTGACATTTTGTATCTGGGCGATCCATTTGCCTTCCCATACCCTGAAATAGCTATCTTCTTTTTTTTTCAAATTATTAATTATAGAGTGACATTTTAAGGTATAGGGAATTTGTCTATTTTAAAATATTGTATCCCCCCCTTTTAAGACATCATCACTCAAGAGATGACAACAGCTGTTCAAGAACCAGAAGCCACTTTATCATTGGCGACACAAGAGCAGCAGGTTTCTACCCTTGAGGTTGCTGGAGAAAATGGTAACACTGAGGAAGGAAAAGATTCCCCCTTCACCACATCTGGTGTTCCTGCTGTTACTCAGCTGTCGAGGAGATGGGAGCCTCTGTCCACTACAGTTTCAACTACAGCTGTGCCTCTGTCTTTTGAAGTTACTTCTGCTCTGGAAGGTTTGTAAGCAGGGGAATCTTGGACTCAGAATTTTAGGGGGAGATTTTTCTGAGTTATAAGGAATGGAGTGAGTGTGGCACTTAGCTCTATCCCTAGGGTTTCCACACAGATCTCATTTGGAGAGTAAATAGAAAAGATGGGTGAACTCTCTTGGAGAGATGTGGCAAAGCCTAATAGGATGAGGGAGGGGTTAGTTCCCAAGTAGAATTTCCTGGTGGCTCACCACTGGGGCCTGTGAAGGCCAGACCTCCTGAGAACTCTCTCCTTGTCTGACAGCTCTGGCTGCTAGAAGCCAGAGGGTGAAGTGAAAACAGTGAGGACCTCAATTGCAATCCCAGCTTTGGTCTTCACATGTATTGTGGCCTCAAACAGGTCTCTTAAATGTCTCCAAGCTTGGTTTGTGTATCTTTAAATAATGCCCAGCCTATCTTACAAGTTATTTTAAGGATTCAAAATAATGTATACAGAGTGCTGTCTGTATAGGAGGCCCGCAAATGCTCTGATATCTTAAGGATAGCAAAGTTTTCATATCTTGGTGATCATAAGCATCATCTGGAAATTATAAAAATTATTATTATTTTTGGACCTCATGTCTCTGTCTCATTATTGGTCTAAGTAAAGCCTACTTTTATTTATTAACTGAGTTATTTTTAAAAAGTAATAAATATCTCCTAATCCTGACCCTCCAAAACAAAAACTCTAGGGCCTGGTCAGTAACCTACACATAACCCCATCACCCTTCCCACCTCACCCTCTTCCTCTGACTGTTAACTGTCATTCTGAATCTTGTGTTCCTCATTTCCTTGGTTTCCTTTTATTTTAGTTTTGTTGTATCTGCATTTATGCTTAAAATTACACATTAAAAAATTTTAGTAGTTTTTAACTTTATCAAAACAGTATCATTCTGCAGATAGCCCTTTTGGTACTTAATTGGTTTACTCAATAGTCTATGGCTAAGATTCACTTACTGCAGTTCTTTTGTTTTGACTGTTTATAATATTCCACTCTGAGATTAGATCACAATTTATTCATCTAATCTTCATCCAGTCTCTCCTAGCAATTTGCATTTGGGTCATTTCCAGGTTGGGCTATTCTTTTTTTTTTTAAGATTTATTTATTTATTTGTTTATTTGAGAGAGAGAGAGAGAAAAAGAGAACACAGAGAGAGAGGGAGGGGGAGGAGCAAGGAGCCCAATGTGGGGCTTGATCATAGGACCCTGAAATCATGACCTGATCTGAAGGCAGATGCTTAACCAACTGAGCCACCCAGGTTCCCCAGATTTGGCTATTGTGAACATTGATTGCCGCCATGCATATTCTCATACATAGTCCCTGTAATACATGTCCAGGGGTTTCTTTTGGTTAAATACCTAGAGCTGGGCTCTAGATATGAATGTTTGACTTTAGGGGGCAATGCCTAACTATCTTCTAAAGTAGTTGCACCAATTTATACTCCTAACATAGCAATGCATGTGAGAGTCTGGATCCATGTCTTAGGAACTTTAAAAAATAGTTTTTCAGGCTTCACCACCAAGGAAATTCTGATTCAGTAAGTTGGGATGTGTGGAAAGCATGAAAATTGACTTCTAAAAAATTACTTTGGAGATTCTGATGATCTGCCAGACATGCCAAATAATACTATGCTAGAGCTTTTTATATTTGGGAAAACCTGGGGGCTAAATTGGCTGCTTTGAAATTGAGCAGATTCTAGACACTGATACCCTTAGTCTATGCCTTGATTTTTAAAAGTAGTCTTTGACATGTATTTTAATACTTTTCTTGTTAAATTTTCTACCTTTGGCAGTAAATTATATAAAATCTTGCAAAATCTGTAATATTATCAATAGAATACATGGGAAATCAATTTGAGACAATACATTTCCCTGGACAGTAGAATGTTTACCTTGCGTAGCTGGATTGATGCACACTGGGAAGGGGAAGCTTATCTAAGTGCCAGACTTAGATACTACTAATACTACTACTTATACAGTAGTATATAAGATACTGGTTTCATTATGCATTTCTTTCTTAAAAAGGAAAAAGACATGTATACGGTTCTCCTAATGATCATCTTTGGGTCAAGTCCCATCTCTTGTGTTTGACAGATCTAATGGACACTGTCACAGGGCCAAATGAGGAATTGTTCACACCAGTTTGGGGCTCTCCAGTGACTCCTCCTGGAATAATGGAGGAAGCACCCAGCCTTTTCCCAGCGCTTCCTGATTCTGAGGCGTCCTCGGAGAGAAGAACCGCTGTCCCATCCATTAGCCAAGTTAATACAGCTGCCTCATTTGGCCTGGACCAACTTGAATCTGAAGGTACCAATGATTTGAAGGGGATCTTTTCTAGAACCAATGGAGTGAGTCACTGAGCAAATGTTGTTTTTGAGAAAAGATTAAGGAGAAATGTGATTTCCATCCACAGTATAAATCAGAGGTCAGTAAACTGTGGCCTGGCTAAAGCTGGCCTGCTATCTATTTTTGTATGATCTCAAGTTAAAAAAAATGATCTTTAGGGGCAGCCTGGGTGGCTCAGCGGTTTAGTACCACCTTCAGCTCGGGGCCTGATCCTGGAGACCTGGGATCGAGTCCCACATCGGGCTCCCTGCATGGAGCCTGCTTCTCCTTCTGTCTGTGTCTCTGCCTCTCTCTCTCTCTGTCTCTTATGAATAAATAAAATCTTTAAAAAAAACATCTTTACATTTTTAAATGATTGAAAAAATTAAAGGAAGAATAATATTTTGTGACATGTAGCAGTTAAATAAAATTCAAATTTCAGTGTTCCTAAATAAAGCTATATTGGGACCCAGCTGCACTTGCTCATTTACATCTTATCTGTGGCTACTTTTGTGCCAGATCAACAGAGTTGGAGTAGTTGTCACAGAGATTGAATGTGCACAAAGCGTAAAACATTGACAATATGGCCCTTTACTGAAAAAGCTTGCTGACCTCTGGACTAGATCAGTAGTTCTTAACTACAGGTGAACATAAGGATCACATTGGAGAGCTTTAAAAAAATCCCTAATGCCTGATTCCTTCCAGTGCTTCTGATTCAGTTGGTGAAGGATCAATCTGGCATCCACATTTTTAAAGAGTGCTTTAGATGAGTTAGGTCTGCAGGCTCGACTGAGGATACTGGTTTGTTTGTTTTTTTGTTTTTTTGTTTATTTATTTATTTTTAAAGATTTTATTTATTTATTCACTAAAGACACACACACACACACACACACACACACACACACACAGAGGCATAGGGAGAAGCAGGCTTCATGCAGGAAGCCTGATGTGGGACTTTAGGATCACGCCCTGGGCCAAAGGCAGACGCTCAACCGCTGAGCCACTCAGGCGTCCCAAGAATACTGGTTTAAATGGAAAATTTGAGTTTCCCCACCACATTTTCTTAGGTGGAAGTTTTAATGTGGACTGTATTTTCACAGCACTGCTCTGATTGTTAGTGCTTGTTTTTTTCCCTCTTTACTTTCTTTTTTTTTTTTTTAATTTTATTTATTTAAGAGAGAGAGATAGAGAATGAGAGGGGACGGGGCAGAGGGAGAGGGAGAAGCAGATTCCCTACTGAGAAGAGAGCCTTGCATGGGACTTGATCCTAGGACTCTGTGATCATGACCCAAGCTGAAAGGAGATACTTAACTGACTAAGCCACCCAGGCACCATGGGTTTTTTCCTTTATGATACATTTCTGGGTTAGGATGTTATAGTCTTTGAAGAGGGGCAGTCTCTTCACCTGTTGAGATGGAGAAATACATGCCAAATGAAGCTTTCCAAGACATTGGCTGTGAGCATGAAGAAGATGCCTGGAGCACAGCTGCACATCCACAAATAAGACTGGAAATATGATGGAAGGTCATTTAATTAATCAGCATTTTAGCAGGTGAACAGTTTCTGGTGGGAAGTGAAGAATGTCCAGAGATTTGTAATCCTGAGTTTCTAAAACTAATCTAGAAGACAGGTAGGCTTTTGGGCACTAAATTAGCCATAGTTCTGATGCAGTAAAGACAGAAGATGTGCTGTTATTTGATATTTTGTCTCCTGTTGAGCAGGGAAGGTGGTTCAGCTAGGTTTGCTGCAGATTCAATCCCAGACTTTCTGGGTAACACTGGCAGTTTTCTGGCAGAGAAACATGACATTCTAAGAGTATTCTGGAGAACTCCATGGTAGAATGGCGGTTTAAGAAATGGATCAAAGCAAGCTCAGAGGCTAACAGGTCTTGCACTCCACATTGAGATAAAACCCATATAACTTTGAGATTAATCTCCTTTTAGCTGCCTGCTCTCCTTGACGCCATCTGGAAAAAGCAGGTTCCCCCAAATTAACCTGAGTTAGAGATGACAGCTTTACCCAGCAGGGCTCATTAAATCAGAGGAAAAAAAATATATTTGTGAGTAATCCATACTTGTGAAACTGCAATAATTTTCTAAATTTAGTAGATGATGGCAGTTGCATTGAAATATGTGAGAATTTTTTTGACTTGCCTAAGATGTCCTGGAGTTTTAGTGCTTTTCTTCTACACAGTTCAGTTCCAGCTTCTTTTTGAGAATCTATTTTGTCAGTTTTTGATCTAGATTATGATTCTCGTCAAGGCTTATGAAAGGCATTTTTGGTTTAAAAATATTCTTTCTGTTACATTTTTGGGCTTAAGATTTTGAATGAGCACACTTTTTCTCCTAGATTCTAGGATGTACCATTTATGTTTAATTAGTGTACGTTAATAATGTCATGATTAGTTTTATGCTGGTGCATCTACTCCTCTGGACTAGCTTATTTAAACAGTTAAGCCTGCTAGACTCCTGATTGTATTGGAGGTCTCTAGTTTCAGTGCATGTTTTTCCACCTTGCCCAGGAATGTAAGCACACCTTGAGAGCTTTTGGGTGAAGGATTTAAATTCTATCCTAGGATTATACCCAAAGGAAGATAGTTTATTCTTACCCAGAACAATGGCTTGTGCTATGTCAGGTTACCAGCCTTTCAAGTTTGAATCTCTATGATGAGTTAACAGATGACATCCAGTTCTCCAGTTAAAGATGTGTGTTTATTTAATTATCTTATGAAACTCCTATGTTATTTTGGTATCTTCTTTCCCACTAGGGGACAGAAGCACTTCTCCAGAGAATGAAATAGTTTTCTCAATGGGATATGGGCAAGACTTGCATTTATTAGACAGCAGACAACCAAGAAGTAAGAACCTTTGTGGAAATTTCTGAATATTTATCCTTTCAGGGATAATTAATGGCTCAAATGAACCTCAGTTTGTATCTACTTGGCACCCTGTCATCTTTGTCTCCTTCTTAACGTTTCTACAACGTAATCACTGTCTAGTGTTTTCTAGGGCTGCAGTAGTGAAATACTGCAAACTGGATGGCGTGAAACGACAGAAATTTTTTCTGTAGTTTTGGAGGCTGGAAGTCTGAAATCAAGGTGTAGGCAGGGCCACCCTCCTTCCAGTGCCTCTAGAGGGGAATCATCCCTTGCTTCTTCCAGCTTCTGGTGGCCTCTTGAGTTTCTTTGCTTGTGATAGCATAATTGCAATGCGTGGCTCCATGCTCACCTGGCTCTTATCCCTGAGTGTTCTCTCTGCCCAAATTTCCCTGCTCTTACAAGAACACCATCCACTGTATTAGGACTCATCCCAATCACCTCATCTTAACTAGATTATATCTGCCAATATCCTATTTTCGAGTCAGGTCACATTCACAAGTGTGGCAGGATATCTTTAAATATATATATATATATATATATATATATATGTATATTTTTTTTGTGGGGATGCAACTCAGTACATAACTGGGGTCTGCTTCTGAGAAGTTTGCCAGTGGGCTCTGAAGGTGGACGTGCTCTGGCTCTGCAACACCCACTTGAGAGATGTGCATTGGTAGAGCAGGAGAAGTTTCGGTGTGTTTTACATTTCTGTTTCTGCCTCTATAAGTGCATACTGCCTTGTGCCTATTTCGGTAGGTGTTTTACCTTGTCAGCAAAAATGCGGTGTGATTTTTGAAGGGATAATGGTTTATCTGTCACTTTGCCTGATACACTACTTCTCTGTACCTTTTTTTTTTTTTAAGGGAATACAGGTTTTCAGGGTGATAAAAAATGCATTATATTTATCTCAGGCATAACTCTACTTGGACTGCATTTATCATATTTGAAATATAAAAATGACAGAAGTCTTCTAATTTTTTATTCAAAATAGGATATGGCAAGTTAGTTGCATATGTATAACCACGTAAATGAGTATTTGGACATGATCTCTGTATAGATTGATATCCTTTTTTGGTGAATATTAATGTATTTCTCTGCTCCAAAATGAGAACTTAATAATATCTGATTACTTATGAAAATTTGCTTGGAATTTTTTTATCTGGGTTAACTGTCCAGTTATTTTATTTTAACCCTAATAACAAATAGACTAGGTCTTTCAGTATTTCTTAAAGAACTTAAAGAAGTTCTGCTTGCTTTTTTTTTTCTTAAAGATCCATTTATTTTAGAGACAGAGTGAGAGCGCACGAGTACATGTGTATGCAGAAGTCAGGGGAGGAGCAAGGGAGAGAATCTTCGAGCAGATTCCCCTTGGAGCTTGGGGCTCCTGGTAGGTTCCATCCCACGGCACGTGAGACCATGGTCTGAGCTGAAACCAAGAGTTGGTTATTCATCCGACTGAGCCATCTCTGCTTTCTGTATTTTAGAAATCCAATTGAGGATATCTATTTACTCTAAATAAATCAAACTTATTTTAGGCTCTCTTGTATTCCCACAGAAGAGAGAAATTTATCTGTGCTGCAAAATAGTAACAATAATTCTGTAGGGTGGCAGGTTATTGCTTTAATAATTCAATATTCAGAAAAAAAAATCAATTGTGGGTTTATTGTACCAAGTTCTAGGATCTAAGTACATGCGAGAGGTAAGAGTTCAAAAACAAAGATTTCTTGAGATTAGGATTTGGTAATCCTTACTCACACCCCCAGACTTCCTCCCTTAATGGTTGAAATTCATTATCTGAGCCTTCCTGCTAATGGGAAATGGGAGACTGCTTGGTACTCGTCATGATGCTGACCAGACAGATTTGGGAACATCATAAATTTGCTTGGATTCTCTCAAGATTGCTCTGGGTTAAGTTATTGTTCTTCTGTAAGAGAAGAAGAAATACCAGGATCCCTGGGCTGGAGAAGGTGAATTCTTGATATGACTGATCCTACTTTTCATGTCTTTCTGTAAATAGGCTGAGTGTTGGGGCTGTATAATCTAGTGCCAGTATCCCAGACAGTTCCCATTTCCTCATGTTTCCAAAGGCCCATTCATCATGGGG